CAGTTCTATTCTGGTCAGGGCACATGCCCAGGTTGCAGGCTCGATCCCCAGTAGGGGGTGTGCAGAAGGCAGCTAATCAGTGACTCTCATGATTGATATTTCTATCTCTCTTTCCCCTGTCTCTCTTGATTTATCCACCTCTCCCTTCTTCTCTGAAATAAAAATATATAGATTTTTAAAGAAAGAAAACAGAAGAAACAAACTTGTAGAAAACAGGAACAATGCAGGAAGTAGAAGAGACCATTTTTAAAAATATACTTAATATCCTTTGCGATTTAAGAGGAGATATTGCATCCATGAAACAAGAACATATACTATAAGGCAAGGAACCCTCAGAGAAAAACAACAAGGATATTTGCAAATTAAAAAACAAAACACTGATATGTTTGCAGAACCACATGGATAAATCTCAGAAACATCTAAAAGCCACAAAGTGGGCGGGGTGGGCGGGAAGGGGATATCTATAACAGTGTTAATTTAAAAAAGGGAAAAAAGCCAGACACAAAAATGTATCTGCCATTCAATTTCATTCTTATGAAATCCAAGCACCAACAAAATGAACCTACAGTGACAGAAACCAGAAAGTGGTTGCCTGGGAGGAGAATGGACTAGAGAGGGGCACAGGGAACTTTCTTAGACGAAAATGTTCTATATCTTGTTTAGGCGGCATTTACGTGGGTGTATTCAATTCTCAAAATGTATTTAACTGACTAGCCGAGACCTGTGCACATTATTCTATGCTAATTATATATTAATAAAAGCATATTTGCAGTCCTGGCCAGGTAGCTTAGTTGTTAGAGGATTGTCCAAAATGCCAATGTCAGGGTTCAATTCCCAGTTAGGGCACATTACAAGAATCAACCAACGAATGCATAAATAAGTGGAACAACAAATTGATGTTTCTCTCTCTCAAATCAATCAATTTAAAAAATAAAGAATAAATAAAAACATATTTTCAGAAATGAAAAGCTCAATAGAAAAATTAAGCCTCTAGCTCTAGCTATCAATGTACAGGAAATACACAGTACAGAGGAACATGTAACTGATACCACCAAAGTACAGTCAGCAAAATCTGACTGTGGCAAACTCACCAGTTTAGCCAGATTTTCCCAATAAAAACTTGCAAGGGGTGGTAACAGAGGAAGAATTTATATATTTAAGAGACGTATCCATCAATGATATGGATTATTTGAATCCAAATTTAAACAAACTGGAAGACAAATATATAGGACAATTGGGACAGCATTAGCATATCCAGATATTTGAAAATATTAAAGTATTATTGTGATTTAAGTGAGAGAATGGTATTGTAGTGATTGGTTTTTGGATTTTTATAAAATGACTTTATCTTTTAGAGATTCATAGTGAAATACTTACAAAGGATACAAGGTTTAGGATATTCTGGGGCAGTGGGAGTGGGCAGGGGAGCAGGAACAGTGCATATAATATGTAATTTGGGTAACCATATATTCACTTGCCCAGTTTACATCTGATATTCATCCCTCTGTTGATCCATTAATCCATCATATCTTTTATGTATTGAAAGTAAGTTCCCTTCTTTTTCCTACCTCCACCCCCCAGCACCTTTGCCTTGCTCATATCACATGACCACCCTGGGTGCAAAGGATGCTGGGAGGTGGAGTACTTAACCTCCTGGCCTATAATAGAGAGCTACAAGGAAAAGGGAAGACTGGGATTGTCTTTTGCTACTTTGACTTACAGCATTTCTCAGACTCATCCACCTCCCCCCTCCAGCCTCCCCTCCCACCATCGCATCCCATAGACCTTATATTTCAGAATGTCAAATTCCTTAAAGATCCTCAAAGGTCCCTGAACACCTCACATTTTTCCTGACTTCATCTCCTGCACAGGCCCGTTAGCAGAATAGCAGTCTCTCCCCTGTGACTTTATACTCCCATTATGGCATTTACCCTACCTTATTGAATGAACTTTTGGACCTGTCTGTCTCCACCAGCCTGTAAGTTCCCAAGGGCAGGCGCCAGGCCTTATATGTCTTGGTATCTCTAGAACTCACTGCAGGGAATGGCTCCATAGTGAATGGAAAACATATAGTTACCAGCTTTTACTGCGGTTTACACCGTCTTGTTGGGCAAGCACCAAGGGAGGCAGTAAGTACCTGGTTTGGATACAAAGATGAGTAACTATATCCTGGGCCTCAGAGGAGCTTACAATACCCTTTTGTCCGGGCAAATGAAAAACTAGACAGGACGCCAGAACAACAGATGTAAACCGGGACTGTCCCAGGCAAACCGGAATATACGCTCACCCAAATTACATACTACACACACGCTGCCTCTGTGAAAACAGCAGTGCCATGCTGACTCATGCCAGCCTGCCAGACCCCAGTCACTCCCAGAATTCTCTTGCACAGCCAATTACTCCTCTCATTAGTGCTTGGGTCATTTAATTTTGTTTCTTGTTATCCATGTAAAAGTTATTACAAATTTAATATCCTTTAATATGCTAAGACATTACATACACTGTACACATAAAAAACATATATTTGCCTGGCCAGCATGGCTCAGTGGTTGAGCATCGACCTATGAACCAGGAAGTCACGGTTTGATTCCCAGGCAGGGTACATGCCCGGGTTGCGGACTTGATCACCAGTGTGAGGTGTGCATATATACACTTATTGGTATTAACACTAGTCTCTGGTCTATTGTCTTTATTGATGGGCATTGTGGGTGTTTCTAGCTTATGAATAATGGAACTAAGAACATCTCAAAATAGATTCCTTTCTCTTCCTTCTGGGTCATTTCTTTGAGGTCCATACTGCAAAGCTAAGTAACCTGGTTGAAAGACAGGAACAGATGATACATCAAATTTTCTATTGCTCTAAGTCTTACTGCTCTAATATAAGCTTATTGTCACTTTAAGGTGTTTTTGTTTGCATTTTTAATTGCTGGAGAAGTTATACATTATGCTTTAACCAAAAGCTACTTAGTTTGGGGGGAAAAACATATTGTCATGTAAATACATAGTTTATCATTACAAGGTATGTTGTAGGTATTCGTTAAATACTTGTTGAATGAATGAATGTACTAAAATCCCACACAGTCACAAAAAGTGACAAATACTGTATGATTCCTGTTATACGAGGTTCCTAGAGTATTCAGATTCATGGGGACAGAAAGTAATATGGTGGTTGCCAGGGGCTGGGGAATTTTTGTTTAGTGGATATTAGAGTTTCAGTTTTGCAAGATGAAAAGCGTTCTGGAGATTCATTGCACAGTGATGTGAATGTTCTTTATTCTCTTGAACTGTACATTTAAAAATGACTAAGATGGTAAACTTTATGTTATGTGTATTTTACATATATATATAATTTTTTTAACTCAGTGGTCGTTTGGTATATATTGTCAGTAGAGGTATGCCTACCTTATATGGTCATGCATGTTAAATGAAGTTTCATATGTGCGATTTTCTAGATTAAATGACTGTTCATTTTTTAATGCAGAGACAGACAGACCAAGATATGTGATGTTAATATTACTGCATAGCAAATAGAATAGGAAACATCATAGACTAGATAACATTATGTGAACATTCAAAATTAGCAATGAAGTGCTCAACCTTATAACCTTAAAAAAAATAATGCACCTAATTTCCTGTTACCTGTGATTTAAAACAGACAGGCCTGGCCGGTGTGGCTCAGTTGGTTGGAACATCCTTCTGTTCCCCAAAGGGTGACAGGTTCCATTCCTAAACGGGGCCCATGCCTGGGTTTCAGGTTCGGTCACCCATTAGGGCCCGTGTGGGAGGCAACTGATCAATGTTTCTCTCTAACATCGGTACTTTATGTTATGTGTATTTTACATATATATATATAATTTTTTTTTAACTCAGTGGTCGTTTGGTATATATTATCAGTAGAGATGCCTACCTCTTATATGGTCATGCATGTTAAATGAAGTTTCATATGTGCGATTTTCTAGATTAAATGACTGTTCACTTTTTAATGCAGAGACAGACAGACCAAGATATGTGATGTTAATATTACTACATAGCAAATAGAGTAGGAAACATCATAGATTAGATAACATTATGTGAACATATTATGTGAACATTCAAAATTAACAATGAAGTGCTCAACCTTATAACCTTAAAAAAAATAATGCATCTAATTTCCTGTTACCTGTGATTGAAAGCAGACAGGCCTGGCCGGTGTGGCTCAGTTGGTTGGAACATCCTTCTGTTCCCCAAAGGGTGACAGGTTCCGTTCCTAAGCGGGGCCCATGCCTGGGTTTCAGGTTCGGTCACCCATTAGGGCCCGTGTGGGAGGCAACCGATCAATGTTTCTCTCTCACATCGGTGTTTTTCTCTCTCTGTCTCTCCCTTCCTCTCTCTAAAATCAATTTTTTAAAGGAGAAAAATTGTTTAATAAAGAAATAAAACAAACGCAGAACTTAGAGGTTTTAGAGAATCCACTTGAACTTTTCACCTTTAAAGATGAGGTGAGGAGATTAAGAGAGGGCAAGTGATTTTTTCTCTTCAAGGGCAGCTACATTGTCGCTTTCATAGTGCACTCCAGCCAAGTCCTTTTTATATGTCATTAACCCAATGGATATTGTGACCTGCCCTGACTGCCCCAGAGCCTGCTGAGAAAGCAGGGAATAGAATGGGCTAGACACAATGTCATGCCAAATCTATAATAATAAAAGCATAATATGCTAATTAGACTGGACGTCCTCTGGACGAAGCCGGGGCTGCGGGGGAAGCTGGGGTCCTGGGTGCCTGCAGGCGGCCGGAAGGAAGCAAGCCTGGGTCCTGGGTGCCAGAGGAAGCTAGAGCCGGCAGCCAGGGGAAGGAAGGCTACTCTTGCATGAATTTCATGCATTGGGCCTCTAGTAAATTAATAAACCCCTTAACAAGAAAATAAAAGGAGAATGGGTATTGGATAGACAATCAACAACTTCTCTTACGCTCACATTAGTGTTTTTGTTTTGTTTTGTTCTGTTTTTGTTTGGGTGTTTCAGGCTGGAACCAATGGTTATATGGCGCCTGAAATCCTAATGGAAAAAGTGAGTTACTCCTATCCCGTGGACTGGTTTGCAATGGGATGCAGTATTTATGAAATGGTTGCTGGAAGAACACCATTCAAAGATTACAAGGAAAAAATCAGTAAAGAGGATTTAAAGCAAAGAACCCTGAAAGAAGAGGTCACATTCCAACATGATAACTTCACAGAGGAAGCCAAAGATATTTGCAGACTCTTGTTGGCTAAGAAACCAGAGCAACGCTTAGGAAGCAGGTAAATTACCATGTAATAGAGATGATTCGTGATGTCAGCATTGTCCACAGGCATTTGGAGAATGTTGTGGGTTAACGACAAAGCTTTGGGATTACGTTGTGTTATTATTGTCCTACTAGAGGACATTTGTGCACTCGGGGGTCCCTTAGCCCCGCCTACACCCTTTAGCAGTCCAGGAGCCCTTGGGAGATGTCCAACTGATGGCCGCAGTGGGACACCCTTAGCGCTGCCGCGGAGGCGGGAGTGGCTCCCACCACAGCTGCTGTGCTCAGCAGCCATCAGCCTGGCTTGTGGCTGAGCGGCCCTCCCCCAGTGGGAGCACACTGACCCATGGAGCATTTGCCCCCTGTTGGTCAGTGCACGTCATAGTGACTGGTGGGTCCTTCTGCCGTTCAGTCAATTTGCCTATTACCCTTTTATTATATAGGATTATTATTTGGATATTATATGGTTAGGTATTTCTGATATTTTCAAACTCTATGAGCAATTGATATGGAACTATCTCTAAGATATATTTTAAACTGAAAAAGTGAGGGGCAAAGCAGCATATATAAAAAGAAGAAAGAAAATATGTAATTCAAATAGCTGCATACACCATTTTAAGCAGAGTATACAAGGAATGTATAGGATTGGTTGCCTCTTACAAAGGGAAATTGGGGGCTGGTGACAGGGATGCAAATGAGGATTGCCACTATAGAACCCTATTATCTTTTGAATTTTGAATGACACGAATAAATTATCTATTCAAAAATTAAAGCTCAAAATAAAATTAAAACACCAGTACTGAGTGCCAAAGCTCTGGAAAATTCTTCCCCTATTAAAAGTCTCTGTAAAATATCATCAACCAGTCAACAGATATTTAGTAAATACATATGATGTTGACATATTAGTTAATATGGTCAAAATTAGTTTTGAGGAAAGTCAAGTTTTATTGCTTACAATGGAATAATAAGATCAAGATATTTTAGAAGAAAAAAAAATACATAAAAGTTGACCTATGAAGAAACCCTTGGCAGAGGGAGAAAAACAAGGGCTTAGAGCCACAGACTCCCATTCCAGCTCTGCTGTCATCTGCTATGTCCTGTCTGTTTTACCTCATGTAATTGAGTTACTTTCTCTGAGTCTCAGTATCCTCCTATATAAAATGGGCAGGGAGGGTGGTATGATGGTTAAACTCAGTACCAACTTGATGAGGCCACAGTACTCAGATATTTGATCAAGCAGTATACTAGATGTTTCTGCAAATATTTTTAAAAATGAGATTAGCATATAAGTCAGTAGGCTTCCAGTAAAGCAGATTATTCTTCAGAATGTGGATGGGCCTCATCCAATCAGTTGAAGGCCTCGGAGAGGAGAGAATTCTCCCAGAAAACCTAGCTTTGGACTTGAACTGCGACTCTTCCCTGGCTCTCTAGCCTGGTAGCTTACCTTAAAGAATTTGGACTTGCCAAGCCTCCACCAGGAAAAATGTTTTTCTCTACCCTCTTAGGTTCAAGAATGGAGACCTGCAAACTAAACTGGCAAAAGACATTGTCCTTTATGTACATACGCAGGAGTTCACAGACAGATGTGAGGAGGTGGTTAGAATTGGGGGCTTATGTGCCATCTTAAGAGGGGAAGGGGAGGATGAGAAGGGCACTTACAGGCAAGCAAATGACTTGTTAGTACTGGTGGGGGTGGGCACTGTGAGAGAATGAATGTCTTTTAGGGCAAATAAACGGGCCCTGGGGAGAATAGATGGGAGATACGATAGTTTTGTGACAATATCTATTTTTGGTGTGGTGTTGATTTCTGTCACTGGCAATATGAGTCAGTCCTCCCTGGTTCCAAAACTCCTGAAATTCCCCGGGGAGAGGATTGATGAGTTGAGTTCTTTTAGGAGGCTCTGCTTTTATGCACATGTGCCTCTGCTGACTCTCAAATGCCCTTAGCTCAAAATAACTTTTATGTCACTGTGGTGCATTCTGGATCCTTTGGTTCTGCCCCTCTGGAGAACCTGGCTAATACAGTGGGCGTCTCCCTGCTGAGCAGTGGCTCAGAGATCCTGGCTGCTTCCATCTTTTTTTTTTAACATATATTTTTATTGTTTTCAGAGAGGAAGGGATCACTTCAGGATATTTTCCCACTGATTTTTAGAGTGGGAGAGGGAGAGACAGAAATATCGATGTGAGAGAGAACCATCGATTGGTTGCCTCCTGCACGCTCCCCGCTAGGGATCAGCCCGCAACCCAGGCATGTGCCCTGACCGGGAATCAAACCGTGACCTCCTGGTTCATGGGTTGACGCTCAACCACTGAACCACACCGGCCGGGCATGGCTGTATCCATCTGGTGGCTCCCAGGTGCCATGGCCTGAGAAGAGAACCTGGGAGCTTTGTGCTGCCTCAGCCGGGAAGTGGCCCACTTCACATATCACTTCTCATGGCCAGAACATTCCTTGGGCCCTCGCTAAGGGTGAGGGGGCTGGCCAGTGTTGTCTTCTGTGTGCCCAGGAAGGAGAGACCTGGATGTGGTGACCACCGACCATCTCTACCATCTGGTTCTTGAGTATCAGAGGGCATACCTACAGTGGCTGAGGCAATGAGGGAAGCGAACAGTCCCTTTTATTTTATTTTCATATTTTTAAATGTATTTTTCAATTACAGTTGAAGTACGATGTTATATTAGTTTTAGGTGTACAACGTAGTGATTAGACATTTATATAACCTACGAAGTGATCACCCTGATAAGGCTAGTACCCAGCTGACACCATACACAGGGGAGCAATCTCGTTAGACGGCTTCCCCCGAGGGAATACCACCCACGTGGTGTGTTTGAGGATCTATCTCAGTACTTTTATAAGCACACTTCGGGTCTATACAATGAGATGTTGACAAACTTCTTCCAGAAAATGCCACCTTAAAGCACTGGATCGTAGCCTGAAGCTGCTCCATCAAACCTTTTTATAAAGCATATGTTGTTGCGCCTGTTTTGAATATAACTGTTTACAACATTAAAGAAGAGTCATATTAAAACCAGCTGTTCAGTGAAAAAGAAAACCTTCCAACATTTTCATTTCAGCTCTTCATAGTTTTAAAAAATTCATTCATGCCCTGGTTCAATCCCCAGTAGGGGGCGTGCAGGAAGGAGGCAGGGGATTGATGTTCTACTCTCACATCGATGTTTCTCCCTCTCCCTCTGTCTCTAAAATATTTTTTTTTAAATTTTTTAATGCAGTAAAAAATTCACTCAAATGTGATTAATTTTGTGGGTGTCCTTCAAAGCAGAGCGAATGCCTGGAGAGCATGTTACATAGCAGAGAGGCCAAGTGCCCCCTCCCCAGTGCACCTACGAGCATTTAAAATAAAGTGAAGTGGAATCTAATGAACAAAAATAAACTAACAAACCAAAGAGAAACAGACTCATCGAGAACAGATGGACAGCTATCAGAGGGGAGAGGGTTTGGGTGGCTGGGTGAAAAAGGTGAAGGGATTAAAAAAAAACAAATTGGTGGCAACAAAATAGTTATAGGGATGTAAAATATAGCATGGGGAATATAGTCAGTCATATTGTAATAACTATGCATGGTGA